AATAGTCGTTATACTCTTGTCGTATGAATTCTCCCAATTTATACATACGATACTTGCCTTTGAGGGCCAGTTCTCCGCCCCCTTCGTGCCAATACTTGCTGTCTTTGTAGGGATCGTTAGGCGGGAAGTTAAGCGGCGGTCGTTCTGCGTGTCTGTGCACTAACTGCAAGAGTTTTAGTGTCGATATGTCGTGATTTGGCCACCGTTTGGATGCATTGGCGGCAAACAAATTGACCGACAAAATCAAACATATGCTTAAAATACTATTCATTTTTTTGTCGCAAATATTTATTCTTAACTTTACGACTAATTCAATGAAACAAATGTATTAAAATTAGCCGAATTTATAGTATAACTTTTTTACATTTTATCTACATGATACATCATTGTGTAGATATAAAATTATGTGTAATTTACCACATGTTGTTAACTGGTGTTAATAATACAAAGTGTAATTAAATTAATTCAAAGGAGGGTATTTTTAAAAATTCCTATACAGTTTTCTTTATAACTTCTCATTCATAACTTTATATCAATGGTGTAAACAAAGAATGATATATAAATTATATAATATAACATTAATGGTATTAATAGTTTTTGTAACTATTCTTGTTACAAATAAAAGTAGAATTTAAAATAGAAAATTCTTTAACGTTAACTGTTTAACGGAATTAATATAAAATGTATATCCTATTTTATTATCACTGGATTAACTTTCCAATCTTTATGAATTGGTAGATATTATAAATTGCAAATATAATAAGACTAGATATGAATTAATTTATATGTTAATAATTTAATGTAGAGAACTTTTAAAAATAATTTACTTTTAAGGCAAATATTAACCATTTTATTCATGTTTTGTTATTAATCAAATTCATATACAATATAATGATTGTCTAAAATGGTATTTTATTAATTTGAAATTAAACTAGTATTGCATTAATTATCATATAATATCAATAATTATTATAAAGCATTACATTCCTTATCAAAGTCTGTGTACAACAAGTGTTTCGTGGATTCAATGTATTTATCAAATGGACAGTCGGTCAGCGACTGGCAGTCACCCCAACTGAGGGCGTGAGGAATCCCTTCATTAATTGTAGTCTCGTTTTGATAGAAAGTTCTCACAAAATATTCATTGGTTTTACTGTTTTGGTGTAATTCAAAGAGAAGGGTCGCACCGAAGGGCGGCATATCTCGATTGGACAGATTGAGTGCATTGATTAGTGCGGCAACAGTTGTGTCGTGTGTTGAGTACACGTATAGTTTCCGATTGTTTTGATTGGCCACCTCTTCTCTGTTATTGTGGATCAACTGTGAGGCCAAACCACCCCCTCTCAGCCGTCTAATGGCAGGACTGTCCCAATTGTATCGGAATTGCATTTCTCTCGACAAATACAAGTCGTCGATCATTTTCTTCTCTTCCTCCTGAGTCCACGTCTTATTCCAGATGTAATTGCGGGCGAATTCAATCTGTAGGACATCCCATAAATCAGATGCACTCTGAATGGATTTTATGGACTGTCCGCTCGCCTCCGATGCCTTCTTATACACCTCTTTCTGACTTTCAGTAAACGTTTTAATTTCTGGTCTTTCAAATATCTTGGCCCTCTCCCGGTCCACAAGCGGACAGTGTTTGTCCTATTGGTTATTAATTATAAGTGTTATTACATAAAGTAATACAATTAAATGATTACCTCATTGCAAACCAGATCGTCTTCGTGTGGTATAAAAGTCTGGATAGGGATGGGTTGCCAGGAATGAGCCAACTTAGCGTCCCCTCCGATATCCCAAATCCAGTCCTGAGTTTTGGGCGGATAAGCGCCGGCCAATAGACTGGATGTGCTTTCAATGCACCGATCGGTGACCGAACTTCGGTCAAACACCTCTCGGGGCGAGTATTTATCGCCCAAATAGTCGTTATACTCTTGTCGTATGAATTCTCCCAATTTATACATACGATACTTGCCTTTGAGGGCCAGTTCTCCGCCCCCTTCGTGCCAATACTTCATGTCTTTGTAGGGATCGTTAGGCGGGAAATATAG